CCAACGTAAGCTTCGTTTCATCTCTTTTCTACTCTATCTTTTTATCTATATATCTATATATATATATATATTTTTTTTTGCCCTAATCTTTTTCTCTATTTTCTCTTTCTCTCTCTTTCTCACGCGAAGGCTCACGGCAAAGGTGACAGACCACCGTGAGCGTGAAACTGTAACCCAATAACCGGGGCCAGTGCTTCTCAGTTACGGCTAGAGTTTCGTCTCTATGTTTATATATGTATATATACATGTATATATTACTTTTCATTATCTTGATCCTAGGAAAAGTAATCGTTGAGCACGTAACGCAAACTTGAAACTCCTCTTACCCCTTCCTATCCCTCTTCTTACTACTACTCAGGATAATTAACAAATTTATCATACACATACACTATCAAATGAGTAAGTAGTAAGATCGAACGTTATCTCCGTAATTTTCCTCTTGTAAAATAAAACGTAAGATAAATGTATTTATTTTTGTTTATACATTTGTATTTTTATTTTTTTTTTTTTACCTTGTCTCTCTCTCTCTCTATAATATATCTTTTATCAAACAAGATATATATCTATTCGAAGAAAAATAATTAAGAGAAAGATATATTTGAAATCTATTGGGTTGGCAAGAAAGTAATTTCAGCTTGCATCACTAGATAACGTTATGTTTGTTTCGTTATGATTCTTTTGTTAATGTTAGAATTTTTGTTCTTTTGAGGTGGTTTTGTAGTTGACAATTTTAGGTTATTATAGAAACAAATTCCGTGTAATTTTGTTTACAACTGTTAGTTAGAAACAATTGAGTTATATTTCACACTGGAAAACCGAAATTACTTTCTTGCCAATCTAATATTAGGTGGACCGGAAAGTAATGTCACTTTTTAACCTTAAATTGAAACGAATAAATTTCTAACAAATTTATATTTTTAATCAATAACATAATCAATCTTATTATCAACAACCTTTTTTCATCTAGTATGCAAATTTTTAATATCAAATTGATAAAAGTCAATCGGTTTTTGATAAAACTTATACAAAATTTGACATTTGTAGAAACGACATTACTTTCCGGTCGACCTAATAGTTTCTGATAGATAAGATCAATGAATAAGACAAAAAAAAATTGAGAATCACTGAGAGACATGCCTAACCTTCATCACCTATCGGCAATATTCGATCACCCAACAACTCTACACCCAGATGTACCAACGTTGCACATATGTCTGTCTGTCTCTCTGTGTGTGCATGTGTAGTACATATATATATATATATATATATATATATATATATATATATACCCCTTCGCAGGAAGCAACATAACCACCCCAACTTGTCGATAATGTTCTCTTCGTTCGGTTTCATATTCGTATAGTATCGGTAAAACGAAACTTGTTACAATTTTACTTTGGAGTACCAATTAATTACTCAAGAACGGCGAAAAACTATCGGGTAACCAATTATATATGTGAAGGTAAATATATACATGTATGTTGTTGCTGTTTCTGTTGCTGTTGAGTAACACAAAAACCACCAATATAAGAAGGAACGATATGCAATCGAGCGTAGCAAAATGCAAACCGGCCTTTAGGCATAGTAGTAGTGCAGTAGTAGTAGTAGTAGTAGTAGTAGTAGTAGTATATATATATATATCTTTTCTTTCTCTAACCAAC